TGCATCATGAGTTGGTGAAACGTGTTACATGTGTCAACTGATGGTAACTCTACGGACATGATTCACCTTCAGTGATCAAATCCACCTTAATGAAAATCTTTAATAGTGTTGGCTCCACCCCAAAAAATTTAAATTTGCATGTGGTACAGTTGGACACCGGGATAATAGAGCTTTCAAAAGCCCTCTAGGTGATTCTAATGTACAGGCAGGCTGAGAAATGCTGCTATTCATAGATACTGACTTTGATGTATATATATCCTTGTTCAAATTTTTCAAGTGGAGCAGTCTGACACAAAAGCTTGAAATGAGATTCCCATACCTGAAATATCCAAGTCACTTGCATCCTCCTTCCTAACCCCCAACTCAAAAGTAAAGGCTTCAATGAAATGACTATGGGGCCACTTGCATTTTGGGGGATCCAGCTGTGCTTTAGCTCTTCTCTAATGCCCATGACAATGAATAATGCATGCTCTGAAATATTGGTAATAAAAGGCAAAAACACAGAATACAAACTCAATGGCCTGAATCAATGGATTACTCTGCAGAGACCACTATATTGAGAAACTGAAAGTACTTTTCAAAGCATAAATATTGTAATCACTCTCTAATTCTACTTCTCTTGAATAAATTAAAAAAAAAAAAAAAAAAGCATTGCATCTGCTGCTTCCCAGGTCTGGAGCAGCAGCGAGACAGCTGCTTTTCCAAACACTCACTTTCAGCAGCAGTGTTAAATTCCAAGCATTAGGTATCTACCAATGAGTGTCCTCAACAAAGTGGGTTGTAGAAGAGATTCCTGGGTCTGCCGGAATCTTGTATTGTTTGTTGGGAAGAAAAATCAAAATTTTAGATTGAGGAATACTGCTTCTCCACTAATAAGCCAAAGGAGGCAAATAGTTAAGCCTTTCTTAGAGAACCGTGGATCTCAGGTCAATGATTAAATCCACTATCCATGTTTTCATTCAAACAGGCAAAAGCTTGAGAAGATGTCCAAGAAAGTTCAAAGAAACTGTGTCTTCCGTTAGACTCTTAAAATACTTCTGAATTTCCATTTGTATAATCTTAGGAAACAAGAAAAACATTAAATCTACCAGTAACACCAAACCCACATTTGTTCCTAAACTCAGTCTCTTCTGCTACCAAGTTAATAACAAGAAGAAAACTGAACTGATTACAATTTCAGCATTTCTCTTTTCCAATTTATTATCTGGTAAAGCGAACAGTGGCTGATAGGCAGCAGGAAAAAAATCAGAAAAGACATTCTTCACATTTAAGTAGAGGCTCTCACTCAGGGTCCTTCTCCAACACTTCCCCCTGCCCCCCTTCCTTTTTTTTGTTGTTAAGGCCAGCAACAAAAAAGAGAAATAAAAGAAAAAGGACATAATTATACCTGCATTTGAGCAACCACTAGCAGAACTCTGCAACTGGTATTATGCTAGTCTACTAGCAAAAAGAACACCAGAAAAGCTCATCTATCCATGTTTCATTGATTTAAATTGATACCCACAGATACAAATCTATTACATTTACAACTTAAGTACACATTATGGTAAGCAGAATAATGGCCCTGTGTTGATGTTCATAATCTAATCCCCACACTCTGTGAATGTATTTCCTTTTACAGCAAATGGGAATTTAGATTGCAGATGAAACTGAGGTTGCTAGTCAGCTGACCTTAAAATAGGAATGATTACTCTGGATTACCCAGGTGGTCCAGTGTAATCACAGGGGTTGTTACAAGTGAAAGATGGAGGTGTAAAAGGGATCAGAGTGAAGAGAAATGTGGTAGAAAGGACTGAACTTGCGATCGTTGGTTTCAAAGACGGACAAAGAGGGCTATGAGCCAGGGAATGCAGGTGGTTTCCATAGCCTGGAAAAGGCAAGGAAATGAATTCTCCCCAAGAATCTCCCAAAAGAAACATGGTTCTGCTGACATCTTATTTTAGCCCTGGGAGAACTGTTTTTGTCTTCTCAACTATGGAGCTGTAAGATAAAAAATTTGTATTGTTTATGCCACTACGATTATAGCAATATGTTACAAAAGTATTAAAAAACTAATATACATGTGATTAAAAGTATATAACTGATACACTTTTCTGGTTACAAAAGTAAGGCATGCACAGTATTTAAAAGAAAAAAGCAAACACAGCAAACATTTGATGTAGAAAATTTAAATGCCTTGTCACACCCATCCCTGATCCTCCACTGATATCCATTCTTGACCACTGGCATGTGGAGTGGGACTCTCTACCTCTCAGGCCTTCAGTTGCCTACCCACAACCATAAATAACCACCCCTACTTGGCAGCAGATGTGTAATGTCAGAATTAGTTTATGATTTGTTGCTTATTCACTTAGTCATGTCTGATTCTTTTGCAAGTCCATGGGCTGTAGCCTGCCAGGCTCCTCTGTCCATGGATTTCCCAGGCAAGAATACTGGAGTGGGTGGCCATTTTCTTCTCCATAGTTTATGACTGTCCAGTGCAAAAAAGATGACAGTAAGGCTATAATAGGAAACTGTATTTGAACCTGGTTCTTAGATTTTGCTGAAGAATGTTTCTGCAACCATATAAGCTAATTAAACAGATTCTAACATGACCCTTTGGGGCCCTTACTGTCACCTACCAGGACCTCACGCTATGCAAGGAGAAAATCATCTTTACCCACCCGAGCACACAGCTGCGATGAACAAAATGGATCTGAGAGCCAGGCTCACCTCCTCCCTCCAGCCCTCCTCAGCAACTCCAGACTGAGGCCTTTGATTTCCTTTGTTACTGATTTATTCTTGACTTCATGTCCTAAATTTATAAGTTCTACAGAAATTAAGTGTTTAAGTACTCATTCCCTTGAACCATTCCTTTGCTGGAATTTGCTAATATTTTCTATATACCTCATTTGTGCATAGATCAACAGCAATGATATTAGATTTTAGCTTTTACAAAAATGCAGATATCTAAAATTCTGGGGAAGAGGGTTAGATGAACCCCCCTCAGAAAGCAGCTGGATATCTGGTACCAGAACACATGGGAGCCAGTGACATTTTTCCCTGAGGAATAGGTGTCTCCGGGACCCAAGAGCTGAGGACTGGGTGACTTTCAGAAAGAGTGCATCACAGGAAGAGCTGAATTGACCCAGAGGCAAAGTGGCTACAGCCCTCTAGAGCTCTCAGAGACTACTGATTTAACTCTCCACTTGTTCGGTTTGATTGAGCAAAGGTCTTCATGCTCCTTCTTCCCTCTCTCCCAAGGATAATTTGCACCTGATTTGCAAAGTCCCTCACAATCAAGTAGAGAACACTTAGGAGGCTGCAGTTATAATCATAAGGGAATTAATGGGCTTCTTCTTTTCCACTTCCCATCCCAAATCATGCCTGTCCTTGGGCACAGTTGCTCAGACACTTGCAGCTCTAGCACACAGTCTATACACTAGTGTTTTCCACAGAGGGGAGTGTCTGGGGTCAATTTCAAGGAGTTCAATAGATGGCCCAAGCGCATACACAAAAGGATTGAAGATCACTTAAACAAACCAGTACACAGATTAAAAAACAATCAAAACATTTCTTAGAAGTGGTTATAACTACAATGAACAGCAATAGGATAAACATGAAGATGTAAAACAGGACATCAAAATCACAAAATGTGGGGGAGGGTAAAAAAGGTCCATCTTTTAGAATGCGTTTGAACTTACATGACTATCAGTCTAAAGCAAGCAGATAGTTGTGGGTAAATTTTCTTGAAAACCAGGGTAACCACGAATCAAAAACATACAACAGTTTCACAAAAATTAAAAAGAAAGAAACTGAATAGGTGGCCCAGAATGACTGAGATGGAATGGTGTTCATTCTGTTACAAGTGCAGGTAAGATCATTATGCTGATAGAGACAGGTTCTAACCTTGGGGAAGGCTTGGAAAAAGTGTCCTTTCCCTGGTTTTCTTTCTTTTTAGCCAATATTAGTTCAAGATGCCATGAACCTGAAATATGGTGGGAAAGAAGGACCAGATAGATGTAAGTTCAGAGAAAAGGGAACTGGGAGGCAAAGACCATGAAGGATATCAAGTGACACCAGAATTCACATATTATATTATGCCCCAAGCATAAGCTCGTGAAGGCCCTGCAGGATGACTCCGAGACCAGACATTTAAGACTCAGAAACAGTTCTGTCCTCAGTAACAGGCCAGGGAACATGAGTGATGGGGGTTAATCAAACCCAGATCCATATACATTAGCAAATGAGAATTATTAAAGTTCTATGCATACCTGCCCCAACCACCAGTTGTGAGTAGCCACGTCATGATTGCTAACAAGGCTTTGATCTAAGGATAAAGATTTTGTTTATCTTGAAAAGTGCACAAGATGTATCTCCTTTCTTTAAGTTGATCAACACTCTTCTCTCCACCCAACATTCACTCACGAACGGAAATGTGAGATTCACACTCTTCACAAAAACCAAATGCTTTCTGTAAACCAAGAAATGTTCCATTTAAACTTACTCAACTCCCTCAAAGAGGTCTTGCATTTTAATAAACACTCTTTGTGACAGAAAAAAGGACAGTTATCTCAACCCGTCCATAACCCACAGAGGTACCAATTGACCACAGCAGTCTTCCTCACCTCATTCTCTCCCTAGCAGTCACCTGAACAGGTGAAAGGGAGGCACTTCCCCCCACTAGATCTTGTACTAACAAAGCATCCCAGATTAACACCATTAAAAGCAAAGTTCACCTTATCAACATTTTTCAAGGAAGAGTCTCTGCCCGTGGCTTCTGCTTAGTGAGCCAAAAGGAACAAACTGTTCCAAGCTTATCCCTAGAAAGATAAGAACATCACTGGCACACAGGTTCCTGTCTGTACAGGTATGCCTTTCTTTTTCCATCCTCAAAGCCACCTAAACTCACAGCCACCCTCATTCTCCTTTCACGCGCAGCAAAGAGACCATGCAAAGGGTGGGGAGGAGGCTCTTCCGGGACACAGGAAGCTGCTGCCTCTACCTTCAACTCCTTTTACCTTGTTGAAGTCTTCAGAAGTTGCCCTCATTTCCTTCCATGTCTTGTTCAGGAGCTGGATACAGATGCAGAAAAACTCCTCGAAGGATCTGTCATGGGTGAAGAACATTGGGTGGAAATCGTTGCAGGTCTCACTAGCTGGAGGAAAGAGGAGGGAAAGAAGGGAGGAAGTTGAGAAGGGAAATGAAAAGACACGGCCACATCCCCCAAAGGGAGACGGTGGAAGGCACGTTCAGCTCAAGCCACCGAGGAAAAAAGGCACTGAGAAAAGGTAACCAGAGGCTAGTCCGCATGAAACCTCCAAGTTTAAGGTCAGATGGTCAGACCTATCCTTATGCACATATTTTGATTGAAGGAAGTTAGCTTGTAACTCTTCCCATGTCATGATCATTATGGCTTTGGTCCAGAATGCCTGGTGTTGAATATGGGCTCTGCATCTGCCTTACTGACCCTATAAAGATCATTCAAACTGCCCTGTCAATCACAGCTCCTCCATCACCCGTAATTTCACATTTCTCAACTGAATAACTGGCAGAAGATGAGCTTTCCTGAATACACAATTAATTGCAACTTTGAAAATAGCATCCTTAAATTATTTCTCCAGGGGGCTCTTTTCCCTCTTATGGCAGTAAGCAGGGGACATCTGAGATCATTAAGCATCTGATACCATTAACCATTTGTTTGACATTCCCAGATACAGATGGTTGGAGGTCAAAGCAGCCCAAGTGTCTTTGAAGGTTCAGTCCTGGACCAAACCCTGAAGTCAGTCAGACTGCCTTTAAACCACCTCATTACAAAGTTTCCTTTGTCATGGTCAGACTCAGTGCTCTGAATTCTAGGTGTGGCCACCTGTTTCCTCTTCCAGACCAGCACACCAGCCCCTCCCTTCTCCTCAGCTCTTTGTCTAGCTTACATTTTTACAGTCCTTTTACATACTTTCATTTGCTCTTCAGAATACCTCTGACTGTTCATGTCATATGAACGAGGCTACTAGAGTCCAAGAAAGTAAGCTTTGTGACTCCCCTATCCCTGATTCCCCAGGGTCAAAACAGGATTCTACTTTTTTTTTTTTCTTTTAATATAGGCTGTTATGTACAGTGAAAGAATTTCTATTTTAATTGAACTCTGTTTAAAGGCCAATTAGTCCTCAAGGCCCCAGATGGTTAAATTTCAAGCCCTGGAAGTCCAGGAAGGCAGGAGGGGTGGGACGGGAGTAGGGTTTACAGCACTTGGGGAAGGTCAGGGTGCCCATTGTGTAGTTGAACACAGACATTATTTAGAGATAATCCCCTGGGGAAAGCCGCTGGTGAGTGAGCCCTGATCAAACCCATGGGGACATGCTCCACTCTGGTAGGGACACACCTATTCACAAACCTCTTTTGTCTGCATCCTTTAGAATAGATAGTAAATGCTGTTCTCTTCCTGAGAAAGTACAGACATAAGCTAGCAACAGCCATCAGTCACACTAAAAATGTTTGGGTCTGAGGGCAAAAGATTTGGGTTCAAGTCCATTTATGACAATGAGGAGCTCACTTCACTTTTATGACTCTTGATTTTTGAAACTAAAAAGTGGAAATGAAATCTCTACTACCTTCCCCATTCGGGAAAGTGCTTTAAAAGGATATAAATAGACACAAATATGGAACAAAACGGTGGTGATGACAATGAAGGTTGTACAAGTAGGTTATTTCCAAGAACATGGGCTATTCTCTGACGGCCCTCAATTCTTAGTCAAGGCTGTTATTACATCTCAGAAATTAGAGGAAAGAACATATAAGTAAGCCCAACTCCAGCTCATGTTAGTGGTGACTGGCTGACTGTTAGTCACAATCATGTCTGACTCTTTGTGACCCCATGGACTGTAGCCCGCCGGGCTCCTCTGTCCATGGAATTCTCCAGGCAAGAATACTGGAATGGGCAGCCAACCCTTCTCCAGAAGATCTTCCCGACCCAGGGATCAATCCCAGGTCTCCTGCCTTCCAGGCAGATTCTTCACCATCTGAGCCACCAGGGAAGCCCATGTTAGTGGTAGAGATGGTGAAAATGAAGAAAGTGAAGTCCTGAGCTGATATACAAAGCTATTTAAGGAACTTAAAAAGTAAATGCAGGAGGGTTGTATGTTTGCTGCCCTGGGCAATGAGCTGTCACTCTTACTTTCATAAGTACTGAAGCCAGTAAAATTTACAGGTCTACAGCAGCACTTTAAAGCACTATCACCATACAAAAACTTATTAATCACATTATCACAGTACCGTTTTCAGGACTGGTGTGATTATATGTATACTTTATGCCCTAATTAAAGTTTTATGGGACTACTGGAGCTGAGCAAGCCAGACAAAACTGAAAACAATGAGCTCTGCTCTTGCTTTGGTGAAGAGGAATAGAAACGACATCCTTAATAACAGGGATCAGGTGGTAGAAGATTGTATGTAACTCACAAGGGCTCTAGGGGTGTTATCTGCACAGCAACCCAGGAGGCAGACATGATGCTTATCCTCATTTTACGTATGAGAAGGGTGAAACTTACAGAAATTAAGCCTTCCATCATGTCAACTAAGGCAGGTGCCCACAAATGAGCATTGGAAACCTACAGTTTTAGTTGACCCAGCAGCAGCTTCCTGCCCTAGTTGACACCAAGAACACAGGGCATTTCCTTGTAATTGATGCTTTGAAAATTAATTTCTCCACCTACTCTCCTAGATCTCCTTGGATTCTTCCTTCAACAGAAACCATGATCTCGATGCACAGCCCAGTGAGGCTCACAGCAAGTACACAGCCAGCACCTGTTGATGGATAATACCCGGCCATGTGATATTACCAGCAATGGTCATACCACTGTCATTGGCTCATGTCAGGCCATATTTTCCTCTAGGAAAATAACATCAATTTCTTTTTATTTAAATTAGAAACAGTGTTAGAGGGGTTATGAAAGTTGTCCAGGGTCACACAGCTTTCAAGTGGCAAATTCAAAATCAGTTGACTTGGCTCCAAAGTCCATCATCATTGCCCTTACATTGTTGCGGTGACAGCCCTTCATTGTTGCACATCCAGTATTCTACACCAGAACCACTGTTTTCAACCTCCATAAGAGAACAGCTTTACCATCGTCCTAAGCTTCTTTGGGACTCATCCCTTGTGATGAGAAATGGGCACACAACACATCAAAAACAATTTGCTTCCTCACATGTTACCAAAGAAACAATGAGGAGACTGATGTATTTTGGGATTTATGATTTAAAGGTGTTCCTATATTAGAGGCAAGGAAAAAGTAATTTTTTTTCCTCAAAAATATTCAAATTGCCGATATTCAGGATTGAGGATGATTGAGCAGGAAGGACTGGTCCAGATTATCTGATCTATTTTCCTCTTTCACTTTTCAGGTAAGAGCAGTGAGAAAGGCAAAATGGCTTGTCCAAGAGTTCATGATGGCAGAAAGTAGGCAAAGATGCTGGGAGTCAGGCTGCTGGGGTTCAGATCCTGGTTCTATCACTTACTGCTGAGTCAGCTGGGCAACACATTTCATCTGTCATTGCCTGAGTGTTCTCATCTGTAAACTGGGGGCAACAATAGAACAAACTTCATCGGGGGCTGTGGGGACCAAAAAGGAACAAGACTACAGGAAGTAAGCTCAATGCAACTATGGGCCAACAAAATTACGCTACTCTTCATCCTATAGCAAGTGGATCAGCCCAGGCTGCCCCAGTGATTAACTAAACTTGCATCAGCTCACAGAGGTGGCCTGCTTCTCATGAACAGGGTCCTCATTCTGGAGATTTAAACAAACAAACAAACAGATAAAAATAGGGAAGGGAAGGTTTATTACTGTTTTTTTTAAGGAAAACAGAAACACTTATTGAAGAAAAAGAAGTGTTGAATTTGTAGGCAATGATTTTATAAATGGAATTTAAAGAGAAATTTTCAATGAGACAAAAATAGAAAGACTTTTTTAAAAACCAAGTTGTTTTTAAGCACACTATTTTTAACACAATGAGATTCTCTTTTATTTAAAAAAAAGGATCAACTTACTGTTCTTTTAAGTCTGGGATATTAAGGTATTTTCAGGGCTGGGAGTAAATGAGTTCTTATTAATTTGCTGACATTTAATTCACTTTTAAATAGGAAGCTTTGAAAGCTTCTTTAATCCACACACTTTTGTTTCTAAAATGACAAATAAGAATGCTATACACTTATGTAGCATTTTTGCCTTTCAAAGTAGATTTGTTCCTATTTTCTGTTGGATACTGTAAGGTGAGGCAGGTATGGTCATTGGAGGCTCAAAGAACAATGGCTTTTGTAGTGGAGCAAGTAAAGAATGAAAGTGAATACAAAGAAAGCATGCTGCCCTGTGACCTTGAAAAGGTCGTCTCAGCTCCAGGGCTCCAAGTTTCTTACCTGTAAATGAGACCTCTTGGTAAGGTTCCTGCCAAATCTAAGACTACACACATGTACACACACACAACATAATGTATTTTAAAGTCCTTAATGTCCATTAATAATTATAGAACTTGGAGATTTCACCTGTACTGAACTTTATGTCCTAAATTATTATTTCCTTGAATGACAGGATGGCTACACATTTCAGTTAGGGTATTAGGGCATCAGAGTGGCATTTGATAGGCTTAGAAATGTTTGATAAGCTGGTATTCAATCTTTCTTTCATAAGAAAAGTGTTAGTTGTTTTCAGCCCCTTTCAATCTATTAATATCACCGAATGCAGACCATTACATAAGAAAATTACACGACTAAAGATAGAATGACAAGATGACACAGGAAAATGCATGTAATTTCTGCTCTTTCATGGGAATTTTCTTAGAGAAATGTAAAGTTTGAGATGCTGAAAAGCTCTGTTCCATGCTTTCGATGACCCCTGTTTTACTCAGACTGTGAACCCATTTGCGAGTGACTAAAGGGACATGTTTTGGTGGCACAAGGCAAATTCTGAGTATTTTTACCATGAAATAATGAGCCATTTCAACTAAACCAGTCTTTGGAAATGGCACACTTTTGAAAGAGAGATAAGCACTGGCCTAACACAAAGGGCATTTTGTTTTAAAATTCTGAGCTACAGGAAGAAGGGGATAAATCATAAACACAAGAGCACCGTGAAAACTGCCAGGATGGCTGCAAAATCTTACTAG